AGCAGAGAAAAGGTGGTCTGCCTCCCCTCAGCTCGTGGAGCAGCCTGTCTGGCTAGAAGAAATGTGAAACAAACCATCACAAGAAGTATCGCTACAAATGTTTGCATGCAGATGGCTGGGAAGATCTAGCAGGTGCGTGGCACTGAGTTGCCGGTCAGCAAACGTGGCTGAGGGCCCTGTGGTCAGCCTGATCTGGATTCAGATGCTTCTACAACCCTTGGTTTCCTCATACAAAAGGAGGCCGATGTTCCTGCTGGAAGATGAAATGGGAATGCGTGGGATGCTCTTGATAGGGGACCTGAATCAGGGCTCCTGAGGACTCTACTCTCACAGGAGGTGGCCAGGTGCAGTTCTCCACATGCCCACCAGGGGCTTCAGGGCTCTGTGAGGATTGGGGGAGATCCCTGTGGGGTAGCTGGGCATGAGAAATCCCAAAACCAGAGTTGACAGAGGCGGTGACAGGCACCCTGGGCTCCGGCCAGTCCACCCGAGGACTGGTGTCTCACAGAGTGGCAGAAGCAGTAACAGGGATGAGTCCTTAACCTCCCCCATCCTCCTGCCTTCTCTCCTCTCCCCCAACCCAACCTGCAGTGCTTTGGTGGTGGTTACACGGCCATTTGCAGGACCCCTCACCTTCCAGGCCCCCGACCCTTCTAGTCTCCAAACAGGTGTCTCTCCGGAAGAACATGCCAGATCTTCAGAGCAGGCCTCTGGCTCTATAGCTTGTTTATCTTTGTGTCTTCTGTTGGGGGGGGACACAGGACCTTCCTGGGGTGCCCCCATCCCTGCTGAGTGGATCACGAACACTGGTTCTCAGAGGGTGGTCCCTGGACTGTCAGCATCACCTGGGAGCTGGGGCCCACCCAGACCTCCTGAATCAGAGCCTCTGTGAGTGGGACCCAGCCATCTGTGTTTTTTTTTTAATTGAATCATAATTGATTATACATATTTTGGGGATTCAGTGTTGACATATGTTGATCATATCAATATTACCAGTGTGTATATCGTTACAAATTGTACTTATTCTTTATGCCCCTTGTCCAATCTCTCCCTATCCCCCTCTCCATCCCCCCTCCCACCACTGATAATCCTAGATTTCTTCTCTCCCTCTGAAGGAGTAATGGTTACTCTGTTGATTTGTTGCCTAGATGATCTGTCTAATGCCAAAAGGTGTGATCAGGTCCCCCAGTATTGTCATAGAACAGATGCTTCTTCTGTCCCTCTGGAATGGGCTTTGTGGAGAGAGACATCCTGTTCTTTTCTTTGGTCTCTGCTGGTGACTCTCCTAGTGTCAATGCACTCCAGTGGCTGGTGGACCATCTGTGTGGTGGTTGTGATGCCTAGCCACTTTCGTAACAGTCATAGTTACTGTGGTGGCTGTGCTGGGCCACCCACATGGATGTGATGTTTTTGGCATGCTCCTTGGTGCTGGTGGTGTGCCTGGTTATGGGCGGGGGTCTGGTCCTCAGCTCCATGCCCCAGGCCCCTGGGAGGGTCCCTGAGGCACTGGCTGTGTGCCTGGTTGTGAGCAGAGAGTCCGGTCCCCAGATCCATGCCTCAGTTCTCCTGGTGGCCCTGAGGTACTGGTGGTGTGCCTGGGCCGGAACTAATTTTTGCTTACTTCTAAAATGGCGGAACTTTCTGTGGGAACCAGTACTTGAGCTGTGTGGTGGAGCTAAATTGCTGCTTTGTTGCTGTTTCCCTAGGGAAGGCTTTTTGTGCAGCTCAGGGTTTAATGGCTGACCTTATAGGCACTTCCGGCTCTCCAGGACTCAGTGTACCTGGGTTGTGTAGAAACTCTGATCTGAGCCTGAGTTTGTTCATCAAGCTGCACCCCATGCAATTCTGCATTCCCAACTAGTCTCCTCTGAGTGGTCCTGCATTGATTGTGAGGGCGGATTGGCTGTCCTTGCTGTGTCCCAGTGTTCTCCCGGGACTTGTCTCCCCTGCTGCCTGTGCTCCAAATGCTTCTTATGGGATGGGCCCAGTCCCTTGCAATGACTCACTAGCCTCTGAATGGCTCCGTTTTTTCAGTTGTTCTGGCTCCTTGCTCCTGCATGGGTCCACGTGAACCCTATTAGTGGTCTTGTTGTCCTGGGGGCCGCCAAAGCCCTCTTCTCTCTTGCTGCCTCCAAGTAACTCCATCCAAATGGCACAGCTGCAGCTTCTGCCAGCTCCTGCTCCATGCACTCAGCAGCTCCAGCCTTAAAGCAGCCGTGGCTCGAAATGCTCTGAGCCATTTTTTCTTTCTCTCATCATGGTTTCTCCTGCCTCCCTGAACTCCATAGGTCTCTCCTCCTCTTCCCCTGAGCTCCAGCAGCCCAGCTTGGCTGTCGTTACATTTTTATAGTTGTAAATTGGTTGATTTGTGGGAGAGAGTGACCCTGGGGACCCTCTATTCCAACATCTTGACCAGAACCCAGCCATCCCTTTAACAAACCCTCCAGGTGACCCTGAGACACATTCAACCTCAGCTCTAGGACAAAGAAGGGGATAGGATGGTACTTCGGAAGGGTCTCTGCCCTCCTGAAGATCTTCTGTGGCTTTTCAGATGGTTGGGCGTGGAGCCAGCCTGGATTTGTCATCAAAGGGGCTCCCCTGGTACCACCCCTGCTTCAGGGTAATGGGGTCTCTCTTCATGGGTGTCTTTGAGGGCAGTAGCATCCTTTCTCCAAGGGAACATCATCTCGAGGATTCTGGAGAAGAAGGCTGGACGAGACCCAGTTTCCCCTCCTATCCTGGCACACCTTTGGCCAAGCCTCCTCCTCTCATGGTAAAGGTCTTCCTTTGTGGGCCAACAAAAGGCCAAGGCCCGGAACAATTTGGGCAGGGACAGACCAGGGAAGAGCACAGAAGACACACAGACGGCGGGGCAGTCCAGGAGGCGTTTCCACCTGCTCCTGAGTACCTTCAGCCTGGGAGCTCCATGGTTCTTAATGCCAACTTACTTTAATGTCTTAGTTCATTTATCATTAAATTTGATTGAAATTTTCATGGGCCACATTAAGCAAAATAAAGATGGACTGTGATCACCATTTGCTGAAACAAGAATAGCCGGAACACAAAATAAGGACATGTGAAACTTCGAAAGCCATCCTTTCGAAGTTTTCACTATGGCCTCAAGTGATACCTGCTTGGTAAAGGGTTGTTGAGGCCCATGAGGGAGACAGCTCTGGACACACTGTGGGGAGTTAGCCCAGAACAAGGACTGGGGGAGACCCTTTCCTGGCGCTGGGCATTGACAGGCTGGCCCTCCCCTCCAGCAGCATTGGGAGCATTGGGAGAAAACTCCCCAGCCCAGGGGAATCCGTTGGGCCCCACCTCAACCCTGGCAGAATTCAGTGCTGGCCATCCCCAGGAGTCTCTGAATCATCCTTGCCCAAGTCCTTCCTCCTGGGCCAATCTTCCATCTGGAGTGGGAACCCTGCCCTTACCTCAGTCAGATGTCAGCATTGGGGAGAGGGACTTCTCCCAAAGCTCTTCTCCCAGGACTGTGGGTGAGGCCTGTGCCCCTGGAAGGGGGACAGGGGGACAGCTAGACTGCTCGCTGCCCTCAAGCCTCTAAACCAGAGGTTGTGACTCAGCTTAGCTGGCAGAGGAGTTGGTTGGGCCTACCCGGTATTGTTGTTTTTATTATTATTATTTTAAACGTTGAATTATTTGCCAACATTTAAAAATTGAGACATTTCACATAAAACACAATTTTCAGCTTCTCTCAAGTCATCCCATAATCTTGCATCACTGGACCCCTTGACAACAGCTGGCAAGAGCTGAGATGCATCCGTCCCATGGACATATCTCTGCAGACCCCGACCTCTGCCCAAAGCCAAGGCTGTTCATCCTCACGTCTGAGCCGTGGTTTCTGGAGGGGCGGGCGCCTCGCACATTTGTTTGCCCTGCCCAGTGCTGGAGTCTGTGTCCTGTGCCCAGAGCCTCAGGGGTCTCTGTTGCTCTTCTCTTCCACATCTAACGTCTCCCGCTTCTGCAGACACTTGGGCTGAAAGGGGGTTAAGACGCACGGGGCTCAGACCACTCCCACAGAGGAAGCACCTGAGCCAGCTCCACAGGAGAGGCAGAATCGGGGCTTGAAGCCACTTCATGGAGTGGGAAATGCCAGGAGCACCAGGAAGGTGCACGGCAAGAGGGTCCAAGACAACCCAAAGTTTCTGCACTGCATCCTCCAAGGCTAGGGCCAGCCCTGAGTGTACACGCCAGAGTATAATTTCAGGCTGTGTTTGTTCATATAATATGTGTCATGAGATACAATGCACAAGGTGACCTTCTACCCCTGATCTTCATCCAAAATTCCTTTCCTTGGAAGCAAATGATTTATTAGCTTCCAGCAGTATCCTATACATAAATAACCAAATGTGTATACATTCCCCCCTTTCTTGAACACAAATGACAGCATACTGTAATTCTGTTATACACCTTGCCTGTTATTTTGGGGGTTTTTCCACTTAACAGTATATCCCTGCACACTTTCGTCACCAATATATCAGAACTTCTCACTGCGTCCTTTACGGTGGATACAATTTCCATACATGTCTGTCCTGTGCTTTGTCTGATCATTCCCCTACTGATGGACAGCAGGGTTGAGCTCCAGCCTTGTGCTACTGTAAATGGTGCCGTAGTGAGAAACTCTGCATGTACATCATTGTACACATGTGCAGGGATATCCGTGGCATAGACCCTTAGAAGTGCTCCTGTTGGGTCGAAGGACTTAGACGTTTGCAGTTGTGATAGATCCTGCTGAATTGCTCTCCAGAGAGGTGGTGGTGATTCAGAGCCCCTTGGGGTGGGTGTGAGTGCCTGCTGCCCCTCATTTGAAATGCTGGCCTCTGGGGCCCTTGAAGATCCAAGTTCTGTCAAGCTGTTCTATCCTATGCACACTGGCCTTTTGGGAAGCCTCTGTAGTGCAGTGTCCCAGGAGCAAGCCCTGCCCTGCTTCTCCCAACCCTCTGGTAAAGTCATTTTCTTTCTCCTTCTGTGCCCTACAGATAAACTGTGTGACGTTCCCTCACCCAGACACGATGCCGGAACAGCAGCTGCTGAAACCAACTGAGTGGAGCTACTGTGACTACTTCTGGGTAAGTGGTGCCTCAGTTTCTCCCACACTGTGGCTCTGATGACCAGGAGTAGACATGTAGGAAGAGCGGGAGGGGCCTGGAGCTCAAAGGGGAGAGGTCTTTCTTGTTGAAGCTTGAAAAGGTGGCATAGATTTAGCATGTGAGGCAGGAACTTAAGAGCTTCTTAGAGTCCAGATCATTCCTTAAATCTCAGGGAGTCAGCAGGGTTCTTGTTCACGGCAGTACAGAAACTCCAGCCAGAATGCAAGTAAGCTGGAGAGTCGTCTTCTTGGATGCCCAGTGAAGGCAGGAGACTAGAATCAGCTTCGGTAAATGAATCTGGGCTCCATACCTGCTCTGTCACTGATGTGAGTGACCCTGGACAAGTCCTTCACCTTCTTAGGCCTCACTGTTCCCATCAAAATCACGAGGAGGTTTTGCACAAGGATCTATAGAGAGCCCCAACTTAATAATTCGGTGGTTCCAAAACTTTTGCATAATGTTTAATGGACACAGTTTGAGTTTTACATGTTTAATGGACACAGTTTCAGTTTTACAAGATGAAAAAAGTTCTGGATGGACGGTGGTGATGGTTGCACAACATTGTGCATGTACTTAATGCCACTGAACTGTGTGCTTACAAATGGTCAAAATGGTAGATTTTATATTACTTGTATCTTACTACAATTAAAATAAGTAAATATATATATATATATATATATTTAATGCAAAGTTCTACACCTCAAACTCTGAGAATAGTCCTGGGTTTTTGCATTTCAAAGTCAGCAATGACTTTCAAACTTTAGATCACTCTATTCTGAAATCAAATGGGATGGCGTTCATTGCACAACCTTGTAACTATTTTAAAAACCACTGAAATTGTAAACTTAAAAAAAAAAGTTTGCACAGACCCTGAGGAACAATAAGTAAATAAAACAAAAACCTATTTCACCACTGTGCAGAATGGATTATTTGTCCTTTTTTAGATTTGCTGAGTACTAGACAAAAATGCTTTTTTCTTTCTACCCAATCACTCACACCTTAGAAGATATCCAAAGAATTCCTATTGTGCTAGTAGGGACAATTCCTATTGCTCCAGCTGGGCTTGCTCCAGGACAGAGATCTGTGCAGAGATTGCAAAATAGTATAAAAAGGGCTGGGGCTTTGGCATCAGACGGACCTGGGGAGGTGAGCATGGATCAGAGTTTGCGAGACTTTATGGGCCTCAGTGAGAACGTCAGATTTCATTCTATTTGCAGGAGGAAGATGTTGGAGGGTTTTAGGCAGAAATATGATGCAATCTGATGAATGTGCATTGTGCAGGCAGGAGTAGGAGGTGAGAGGTGAGTGTAGGAGACCAGGGGAGATGGAGAGATCTAGCAGGGTGGGAAAGGTCACCTCTAAGGGGATGCAGTACATGGAGCATTCAAGGCAGAGTGGTTTGAGCCCCAAGAATGGGCATCCTGGGAGCTGGAGGAAGTATGTGTTCCTGTCCACTGGTCAACAGCATCCAAAGAACGACACTTCTGAGTTCTCATCTTAATTCGAGCTCTCAGGAGACCCCAGTGCTTCTTCAGGGAATTTTATCTTCCTGACCATCAAGGCTTTTTCCTCTAATAGAAGTTTCTCTCTGCTGACACCATCATTAAAGCCCATTTCTTCCAGCTGGTTTTACCTGAAGGGGACGAATCGCTCAGCATACGCATCCTAGAAGAAAGGCAAATTTGGGCTCCGTATGTTGGATAATTTTCCTTTTGCTTTTTTATCAAGATGTAGCATTCACAGAGTGAAGTACACAAATCTTCAATGTACATGGAAGAACTTAAACAGCAAGGGCAGCCCCACTATGGCATGGTTCACTCTGTATGGCGGTCATCTCCTTGTCATGAGAGGTGTTAGCAGTGTAGCTGGAGGGCCTTGGGTCAGAGTGGCAAAGGAAGGGACCCTACATTGGGCAGGACTGGGGACATGTCCATAAAACCCTTTATCGACTTGACAGTGGTAACTGTGGTTCCTTGCAGCATCAACAAACCCTTTCCTTTCCTCTCTGCTAAAAAGTCTGATCAGAAGGGATCATAGAGGTGCCACCCACTCTTATTTCAGCGTAGAATTAGAAAGAACTGACTGTCACGCCATGTCACTCCATAGCTGAGCTGAGAGGAGAACCCAGTTCTTTCTGGACAGATGCTGGGACCATGTTCTCACGCGTGCACCTCTCCGTGATATCAAAAGCCTAAGGTTAACTCTCCTTCAGTTAAATATCAAAGCACATGGCCCCAGATTCCTGATGGGGAAAGGCGGTGAAGGGAGAAGATACTTAGGCATGGTGACAGCCAGGGGCCTGAGATGGCTCTGGGAGTTGGTCCTTCAGCAGCCATGGCCTTGTGGGCAGATTTCAGGATGGCTGTCGGGCAGGGAAGGGCAAGAAAGAGGTATTCAGGCATGCTTGGGGAAGTGCAGATAAAACGAAACAAAGCATTTAATTTTGAAATTTTAAGAATATTTGTTTGCAAAATTAAGGGAGTCTTAAGTTATCATTTCATTGACTTGGCCATTTTCCCCAGGTCCCATCTTTTATTTAAAAGCAACTAATAACAGATACTGTTTATTGAGTACTTACTGTGTGTTCAGCACTGTGCTAAGCTGTTTACCTGTGGCATTTATGCTGAAATGACTATCAGGTGAGTGCCGTTATTTCCCCAGTTTTGCAGATGAAGAAGCTGGGCCTGGAGTGAGTGAAGAACTTGCCTGAGGTCACCCAGCTGGAATTTTAGTCCTGGCAGCCTCTCTCTTCTACTCTGGCTCCCCTTCAATCCAGTTTCTCCCTGGCGGCCACTAGGATCTTTTTTGTCTCTCTGCTGTGATCTTTTATGAATGGGTGTTAGAGGATGTCACTCCCAACCAGTGCAAGAAACTACTAGGAGATAGATGGCTTAAGGTTGGGGGGCACCTGTCCTCAAGGTCACACACAGACTGTCCCAGGGTAGTCGTAACACCAACACTCCCCTGAGGGTCAAGCCAACATCAGCAGCCCCTGGTGGGAAGTCACAGGCCGTTGGGCATCAGAGCCTGTGCCTTGGCCACTCGCCCTTCCTGCTGTTGGTTCCCAGGTTGGGAGAGTTAAAGGTCATGGACATGGAGGTGGCAACAGCTATCAGAGATTGTGCATTAGGACAGAACACACCGTGGGAGCTTAGGCACCAGAAGAGAGATGGCAGCTGGGGCAGCAGAGACAGCTGCTCCTGTCCTCCCTCCTTTGCTGGGATCAGGGGTGCCGGGCGCATCTGAGAACATTCTGGGTCCTTTCTTCTCTATGCTCCATTCTCCCTGGCTCCAGACAGCAGATGTCACCTAAACTCTTGTCCTTTGGTTTACTTTGCAGGCTGATAAGAAGGACCCCCAAGGCAACGGCACTGTGGCTGGGTTTGAACTGCTGCTTCAGAAACAACTGAAGGGCAAACAGATGCAGAAGGAAATGTCAGAATTCATCCGGGAAAGGTGAGGACTGGGCCCTTCCCAGCTCCAGGGACTGGCGACTGCACCTACTTCGGCCCCTTGGCCTGGGGGTACTTAGCAACAGGACTCAGCGCTGCACACCCAACACCAGGCTGGTTAGTTGTAAGGGGAGCGGAAGACTGATATCACAAACTTGTGGCCCCTGGGACAGATCTGGCTGGCAGATGTGTGGCTTTGGCCTGTCTGTAGTGTTTTTAAAAACTTGAACCAGTATTTTAGAAAAATCGGTAGATTTTACATTAAAATCTGTACATCTGTTATCTCTTGAGAAAGCAGCAGAGTTGGCAGGATTGCCTCCACCTTCCTCACGTGACAATTGGCTGAAGCTGAGTAGCAGCTACCCCTGTAGAGGGGTCATGTGTTTCCATTTTGCTGCAGTCTCCACCACTCCCTACTGCCCCCCCCCCAAACAGACTGCCTCACTCCTTCCCTTACCCACCCAGCCCTTGTTTGAAGCACTGTCCCTTACCATCACCAAAAATGGCAGTGTTACCTTTCAATTCATCTCTGAGCCAAAACTGTGTCCCAGGCCAGGGAATATAGGACCCTCCCCCCACCCACATCCCTGCCTTCAGGGATTGTAACAGTGGTTTGTTTAAAGGGCTTAGGGACATAGATGAAGAAACAATAAGTTCAGCCGGATGGACACAGAGCAAGCTATAGAGAGGAAGAGAAGTTCCTTCTGCATCTCCCTCCTCTCTGTCCAAGTTCTGAAACTCTCAAGCACACACACACATACATGTAGACCTGCATGCACACACCTGCGCATACCCCCACACGCACATTTGTGCACACACATAGCTTTTCAACAGGAGCTTCCAAGGCACACTGGAAATATTTATAGCAAATGGCAATTTCTTCTAAAACTATTTCTTTTTTAATTATAACAACAATAATCAAGTAATAGGATGGACACAGAGCAAGCTATAGAGAGGAAGAGAAGTTCCTTCTGCATCTCCCTCCTCTCTGTCCAAGTTCTGAAACTCTTAAGCACACACACACATACATGTAGACCTGCATGCACACACCTGCGCATACCCCCACACACACATTTGTGCACACACATAGCTTTTCAACAGGAGCTTCCAAGGCACACTGGAAATATTTATAGCAAATGGCAATTTCTTCTAAAACTATTTCTTTTTTAATTATAACAACAATAATCAAGTAATAATGCTTTGGCATTTTAAAGCACCCCTTTTCCTCAGGAGGCCTATTTTCTATTTGTATAATCAAATCTTTATTTTATGATCCACTAAACTAGTAGGAAATTGAGAGGTTGCATAGCTCGGGCGCAAGAAAACAATAGTATAAAACAGGCAAATAGGAAAATGGCTGTATGAGCCAAAGCTTGAGCATGCTTACGGTTTATACTTCCAGAACAACATCATGTCAGCAAATAAATAGGACCTGCAATCTCAGAACACTCTGGTCTTCCCAGAGAAAATGCAGACTCCTGTAACTTTCCTCAATCCATCTTGGGATCTTGTAGAGAGGGTCTTTCAGAGCTGGGAGAGACAAGAGCTGAGGCACAGAGGTAGGAGCGTGCCTGGCTAGGGGACAGATGGTGGCTGGTTTGCTTTGGCTTAGGGAAGCAGGGCAGAGGGTGGGGGAGAGGCTCAAGAGGGAGACGGTGTAGACACCTCGTATGCTGGGCGCACGTGCTTGGCATTGAGGAGTACGGGCTGGTTAGACCTGCTTTCCAGAGAGAGCTCTTGGCTGCAGTCTGGAGGTGCAGCCTGGCAGTAATGGTGATGGAGGGCTGGAGGTGAAGGCAGAGGGGTGGAGAGGAAGTGACAGGTGGGAGACACCTCAGTTAGACTCGGGAGGTGGGAGCAGAGCAGTGCGAGAAGGAACAAGACCGTGAGTCTCTCGGTGCCAAATCATGCAATAATTGTTACTCAAAATGCTGCCACCGGACTTTGTCAGCGCCCTCTCGACATCGTTGCACCCTTTGGGTGCTGCTGCCTGAGTGGGAGGGAGGGAGTGCTGCAGCCCCGGCATTGCTGGGCTTTACTATCCACCGGGTGATCGACTGGAGGCTCTCTGAGACCCCAGCCTTCTGGCTGGCTCTGGTTGTCATGAGCATTTGCTCCTCTGTCTCCCACCATGGCCCAAAGGACCGCTTAGGGCGGTGGGCACCCACACTCAAGAAGGGCATTTCCACATTGTCTTCTCTCCAGTGACCAAGGCCACCTGCCAGGTGCTGGAGTATATCAGTGCCCCTCTGGTCTGTCTCCTGGTAGCCGGCAAGCAGCCTTTAGACACCCACCCCAGCTCCCTTTTCTCTGAGGCCTGGCTGGGAGGAAACTGGGTATGAGAGGCTTTTGTACCTGTCCCCCTGTCTAGAACTTTTTCCTGGGGGACTGAGGCACAGGTTCTCCTCCCGCCTCTGGCTGTGACAGTCCAGACAAGTCCTTGGACAAGACCTTGGCTGTGAGAGGCTCAGCCCAGCCCTCCCAGCCACAGAAGGATTCCTAGTGGGAGAAAGACTTCAGCCTTCTCTGCTCTATTAACAAAGAGCAGCCCTTGTGTGCTGCTGGTGGGAACGTAGAATGGTGCAGCTGCTGTGGAAGACAGTTTGGCAGGTCCTCAGAAAGCTAGACGTAGTATTACCATATGACCTGGCAATTCCACTCCTAGGTTTATTCCCAAAAGAATAGGGACCCAAACAAGTGCACGTACAGGCCCATACAGAGCAGCACTGTTGATAATGGCCAAAAGGTAGAAATAAGGCAAATCCCATCAAGGGATGAATGGATAAGCAAAAGTGGTATGTGCAGATAGATACCCATGGACATATGATGGAATACTGTCTGTCCATAATAAAGGATGAAATACTGGTACATGCTACTAAGTGGATGACCTTTGAAAACATTACGCTAAATGAAAGAAGCCAGACACAAAAAGACACATAGTGTTTGATTCCATTTGTATGAAATGTCCAGAATAGGCACATTCATAGAGGCAGAAAGCAGATTGGTGGTTGCCAGGACTGGGAGAAGAGGGCATGTGTTATGCCTACTTAATGAGTACCAGATTTCCTTTTAGGATGTGTAGTTGTCTGCACAGGCTACTATAACAAAATTCCACAGACTGAGTGGCTTAAACTACAGCAATGTATTTTCTCATGGTCCTGGAGGCTGGAAGTCCAAGATCAAAGTGCCAGCGGGGTTGGTGTCTGGCGGGGGCTCTCACATGGGGTTGCAGATGGCCACCTTCTCTCTGTGTGTCCACATGGCCTGTCCTTGGTGCGTGTTCTGACAGACAGTGACAGAGTGACAGAGAAAAAGAGAGCTTTCTGGTGTCTCTTCATATAAGGACACTAATCTTTTCTGGTCCCCACCGTTATGACCTCATTTTAGCTTAATTACTTCCGTAGTGGCCCGATCCTCAAATAACAGCTACAGTGGGAGTTAAGGCTTCAACATATGAATTTTGGGAGGACTTTTAGCCCATCCAGGGTGATGAAAATGTATTGGAAGTAGACAGAGGTGGTGCTTGCACAACATTGTGAACACACCCAACACCACTGGACTGTTTATTTTTAAGTGGCTAATTCTATGTCACATAAATTTGACCTCAGTAAAAAAAAGTAGTAAGGACTCTCAGGAGGTTAGGGTTGAAAGGGTCCCCGAAGGTCCTCTCTCTATTCCTGCCTCCCTCTGTGGCAAGTTTCTGTTTGAGCTCCTTCCACAACGGGAATGACCCCCAAGGAAGGAAGACAGTCTGCCGTGGGATGATTGTGGTTGCCAGAGAGCTGTGATGTTAAACAAGTCCAAATTTGCCGTCATGGCTTGAAATCCTTCAGGGGACCGAGATTTTGCCAACCAAATGTGGCTTTGATTAAAGCCTCTGCATGGGCTGACTGTGCAGCCAAGTGGCCTCCTCTAAAGGTTTTTACCAACCCAGCCAGCCACTGGCCACAGGACAGCACAGCAGGACCAGTGTCATTTCCACAGACATAAATGAGGTGACTTAGTTCCTGGTCCCCTCCTGCTGTCTGCACTGGGCCTGAGATGGGGGCAGGAAGAGGGCAGAGGGGAGTAGTCCTTGCTGCCTGGGAAGGGGGCTAACCCAGCCAGCCACTGGCCACAGGACAGCACAGCAGGGCCAGTGTCATTTCCACAGACATAAATGAGGTGACTTAGTTCCTGGTCCCCTCCTGCTGTCTGCACTGAGCCTGAGATGGGGGCAGGAAGAGGGCAGAGGGGAGTAGTCCTTGCTGCCTGGGAAGGGGGCTTTCCTAAGAATCCCCATGTCCTGCAATCACTGCGCTGCGCTGGAGTCTTCCGGCTTCCACCTCCCAGGCCTGGGCTGCAGCCAAGGACTCTGCGTCCTGCCAACATGCATAGCATATGTTCCTGACTCCAGCAGCCCGGCTCCACAAGTCAGGCTTGCACCACCATGCTGCACACACATGCACGTAAACACATGGGACAACACAACACATGCTCACATCCACGCGTCAGCACCACTCAACTGTAGTGTGCACATACCCCACTGTTGCACGCACACAGTAACCCCACGCACACACTTCTACCAGCAGGCACCAGGGCATGAACACGTGACCTCCCACACACAATGTGCAGCAGGGTATTTTGCATTTGCATACAGCTTTGGACACTTAACCCGGTCCACCTTGAAAACTTTCAAAATGCGATGCTGGAGCCTTGAAATTTGGGACAGTCTAGGAAGATGCTGATTGGGGAAACTCGAACTGTTTTTTAACTCCAGTACTATGTCCAAATTAGATTTCATAGGACATGTGAACATGGGTAAATACACAGAATTAGATTATTTATTCTGCCTTCAGGTTTTCTCTCCCATATGGAAAGGAAATGGGATTTTGGTCTTTCCTGGTTGGCAACTGTGGTGGTAACATGCGTTGATTTGGCATGCCTCAAACTGTGTGTTGGAACAGAAATATAGCTCAGATTTGTGGTTTTTTAAATTAATATCTTATCAGGTGAAAAATATCTCTTTAGATTTCCTCAGTGGCTTTTTCTAAGTGGGGAAGTGGCTGCAAGGGGTCTGGCGTACTGGGGAGCAGGAGGCATGCACGGGGGATGTATTGGCTCGGTTGGGCCCATCTGCATGTTTGGAGTGATGTCCTCCCACCTGGGAATGCCCAGCCTAGAAGTAGGGCCAAGGACTTGTCCTGAGTGGACAACCATGCTTCTTCCTTTTCTCCCAATATTCCTGAGATGACATTCTTAGGCCACCATGCTGTCCCTGGGCCAATTACCACGTGTTCTGTTGACGGTGGACTTAGAGCTCTGCAGGCAGATGTGTGGACTTGCACAAACTCTGGGCAGCTCTCAGGGCTTTCCTGATTTCTGCAGCCCCCATTTGTACTTCCCGCAGGCTGTGTTGTGTCACTCAGCTGCAGTGGCAAAACCCTGTCCACCTCCCTTTGACCAAGTTCCTGCTCCCCCTAGGATGGCTTCTGTAAGCCTGCATGGTGTTGGCTTTCACTTTAGAGCTAGGATCCACCTTGACGTGATCTGTGTGTATGGCATAAGGTAAGGGTCAAGATTCCTTTTTTCCCCTATGATATACAGTTGTCTCCGCACCATGTGTTAAAAAGACTGTTCGTTCCCCCAGTGAAATACCTTGGCACCTTTGCTGCACGTCAGCGGACCATATCTGTGTGATTCCGCATTTGCATTTGTATTCTGTTCCACTGATCTATATAACTGCTGTGACTGCTCCACCCCCCACACCCCCCCCAAGACCTCCTACCCACCTGTTAAGTCAGGTGGGAGCCTCAGCCACCCAGAGGCTGTGGAGTGCCCCAGAACAGCCATCCAGAGCTCAGCCCTTTGGGCAAAGACGAATGTCAGCAGCTTGGATGGCCCTGTTTCTCACTCCGGCTCTTCACTGGTGGACTCCCCAGCCGAGATCACCCAAGGGAACCTTTCTTTGGCACCGGACTCCTAGATAAAATCAGTCAGTCATTTCCCACAAACACCCACCTCAGCCTGAGCCAGCAGCACCAGCGGGTGGTCCTGGGTTCTGTTCTGCCGGGCAGTTCTTAGCTGCTGGCTGCTGTGCTCAAGACCCGGAAGCCACACAGCATGCAGCTTTCAATCAGCTTTTGCCACTCGAGCTTAATGAATTCTCTGGGGCAAGTGGCTTTTTGATGAAATTAAGACAACTGAACATTCACCCTGGATTTACTGTCTGGGTTGGAGAGATCGCGAGCAAGGAAGCAGAGGTATCGTTTGGAAGGGTCAGCAAGGCTAAAGAGTTCCAAAAATGAAGAGTGGGGTGTGGGGCCCACGTGTGAAAGTCTGAGGGACTCAGGAGAGTTCTTCTGTTTGGAGTGGGGAAGCAATTTAGCTTAGAGGACTTGACCATTCTCTAGTGAGCTGTGGGCTGTGTTAGGGCTCACAAGTAGAGTGAGTACTGCAGAGGACCACGCTCCAGAGGATGGTGATGGGAGCCTTCTTTGCTTGTGTCCCTAAGAGGTCCCCAGACTCATGTGGTCCATCTTTGCCCCTCCCGGAAGTCAAGCAGCTGGCTGTTTGCCTGCAAGCAGGGCTGTGTGATACCTTGTGTTTGAAAAGGGCTTCTCCCTGGAAAGGAATCTGTTCTCCTTCCTTGATTTACTGGAAGGAGCTTGCACCCCTCATCAGCAAGCCAGGGAGGGGTAATGCAAAAGGGCTTGGGCAGAAATTGGCCAGGTATCAAGGCACCCCCTATAGCTGCACCCAGCCTGCTCCTTGCACCTCCCCCAGTCCTTGCCAGCCTCTGGTTCCTGGATGTTTCCCCAGCCACTCGGCTACCTGCTGCAGTCTGTTCTCTCAGCTGCAGAGGTAAGGTCAGCTCACCTTGGCTTTGGGGGCTCATCTGGCCCTGTGGGTTGAAAAGCGATGCTCATGTTTGTTTTGTGTTTGGCCTCCGTCTCATCCAAGTCCAAAGTCTTGGGTGTTATATGCCACCCCAAGACATAGGGTTGAGACCCACCATCCTACCTCAGGCAGGGCTATGGCTTCTGACCTCAGGTTGGTGCAGCTCTCGCCAGGATCCTCAGAGTCTGACGGTCTCTTTCTTCTTGCAGCTCCCTGGGAGAAGCGTGGGCTCAGGTGAAGAAGAGCCTTGCAGATGAGGCAGAAGTTCACCTCAAGTTTTCTGCCAAGGTAACATCCCCCCGCCCAGCCTCTTGGGGTTGGTCTTGCAAAGTGGTGGGCCGATAAATGGTTAACAGCTGTCACTCCAGTTTGTGGTGTTTGCCACTTTCCATGGTGCAGGTTTCAGACTGCCAGCACAAAGTCACTGCATACAGACTTGGGAAGAGATGCACAGTAGCACACCATCAGATAGTGTTTCCATCAGGCTGGTGCAGTAGCGTAAAAAACCATAAACATCCACCAAGAGCATGGGTCATAGGTTTCAGACTGCCAGCACAAAGTCACTGCATACAGACTTGGGAAGAGATGCACAGTAGCACACCATCAGATAGCGTTTCCATCAGGCTGGTGCAGTAGCGTAAAAAACCATAAACATCCACCAAGAGCATGGGTCATGGTAAAATGTAGGTACAAAGCAATAAGTGCTGAGTATTGATTACCTTTGTTTAATATCTATTTAATTGTGAGTTTATATGATCTAATTTTTCATAATGACTGTGTTTAACAACGAGTTCACAAAACTCTTGAAAATTTAGCATTCAGCCCATGGGAGCCCCAGCACCCCTCTCAGTGGTGAGGGTGGACACCTGTCAGTTTCTCAGGTAAACCCTGAGTGATGAAACCCCACTCTGCTCTGCTGGGTTTCAGACGAATGGATTGGCACGTTCTGTCTCTTTTTGGTGTTGGGAAAAACTAGACAATGTCAAAGGGAGAATGTTTGGATTTGTTTTATTCGTTGTTGCAGAATTTCAGAACAGGTAAATGACCCTTCTTTTATTTGATTCTAAACACACCAGCACCAGGACTTGCTTGAGGACAGGCATGTTTCTGTTCTGTTCACTCTACCCTCAGTGCTCAGGATACTACCTAGCACACAGTAGATGCTTAATAGTTTCTGAAGTAATGAATGAATGGAACCCTTGGACTATCTCCTCCTCACCCCCCAGTCTTTTCAGGTCTACTTTCTCTGATGATTTCTCCATGTTTCCAAATGACCCCATCTCCCAATCCCACTCCCTGGCATGTATTTCCACTTTCTTTTTCAAGCTCTCAGCTACTTTCTAGGTGAAATATAAACTAAGTGTCTTAGTGAAATAATTCTCACTAAAGTGTGTGTGGCTGATGGGGCTACCCACTAACATACTTGCCCTTGAAAGAAAGAGACACCCTTGAGCATGGCATCATCCCAGTGGCCCTGGCCTGTGCTTTCTTCCCAGTGTCACCAATCATACACAGCAGCCTGAGAAGGCACTCGGGTGAAGTGCTAAAACTTTCTGAGTCCCCCGTCTTTAAATACTTTCTTTTACCGTTTGAAGGTAGCATTCCCCAAAGATGGCTACTCCTTCCATGGCCTTCCACATTCAGCACTCACTGGTCCCGTTTTAGTCCATTTTGTGTTGCTATAACAGAAATACCTGAGACTGGGTAACTTATAAGGAAAAGAGGTTTATTTGGCTTACGATTCTGGGAAAGCTGCATCTGGCATGGGCCTCAGGCTGCCTCTACTCATGGCAGAAAGTGGCAGCAGCCAGTGGGTACAAGCAGATCACATGGTGAGAGGAAGCAAGAGAGAGAGAGAAGGTGCCAGGGTCTTTTTAAGCAACGAGCTCTCACAGGAACTAATAGAGCGAGAACTCACTTATTAATCCCCCCTTCCCCCAGGGAGAGCATTAATCCATTCATGAGGGATCCGCCCCCATGACTCAATCAGTTTCCAACACTGCCACATTAGGGATCAGATTTCCACATGAGTTTTGGAGGGGACCACACATCCAAACTCCATCAGGTCCTGTCTCTTTTCTAGCGCTGTTCCCACTGCAGTGGCAGTTCCCTGCTTTGGGGTCCCATGTCGTGTGATCTTGTAAGACAGGATGCTGTCACAGTACCCAGGTCTCCCCACCCCACCCAGTGATCATGTTCTGCACACAGAGGGGCAGAGTGAATGCCTCAAACAGCTGAGGCACGTGCGAGAGCTTTCTAAAGAGCTGGGGTGGGGAGGAGAAACAGTGCTATCTCCAGCACCCTGTGTCGAAAGGATGTTAGTGCCCCAAGATTGAATTGACACCCAGATGCAAGTGAGAATTCCCAGCTAATGAAAGCACACTAACCTCATTACACCGAGCACTTCACAAGAAAATTGCTGCTCGAGCCCTGGCAGAGAAGGGAGCTCCACGAATTGGTCTCTTTCTTGTGCTGCATACAAAGCAGCAAGTTATTTTTAAGCTGCAGATCGTGAGTAATAGTCACCCCGAGGTCTCCCTTCTCTCTTAGCCTCCAGTAGATCCATTCTCTGCCATGACAGAGACCTCCACTGACTGGCGAGGCCCATAGGAAGCTGCTGTTGGTAGGGGCAGGGGCAGAAGCCTCACATGCCAGCTTCTGAAAGGTTGCCTGCTGGATCCCCCAGAATCCTGGTGGCATTTATCCATTCTCTGCCATGACAGAGACCTCCACTGACTGGCGAGGCCCATAGGAAGCTGCTGTTGGTAGGGGCAGGGGCAGGAGCCTCACATGCCAGCTTCTGAAAGGTTGCCTGCTGGATCCCCCAGAATCCTGGTGGCATTTACTCCCCATCAGCAGGACCCCTGACTTTTGATTGTTTGGAGTACTCAACAGGTAGCAAAATGCTCTCCCACGCAGTAAAGATGACGGAAGTGTTCCAGATGGTTATATACAGTATATAACTCATCTCTCTTGGTTTTATCAACCACCGTGCAAGAGAGCATCTCCATTCCACAAATGAGAAGGGGCAGAGAGATGAAATCACAGCCCATGATCACACAGCTAAGTGTACGCAGCTACAAAGGAAGCAACACACAGGAGACTTGATCCCCAGAACTTTTCTTCTGCAGCGCCCTCTCTTCAGTAGAACAGTAGCATTTAAAACACAGAACCCTGTTCTTGAGGAGCACTGTTTCCTCCCAGGGATACCAACAGAGTGGTGCAGGCCAGCTCCCCAAATGCTCAGAACATTTAAAGTCGGTGTTCATGAGGCAGGACAGGCTTCACCATGCAACAGAGGCTTATGAAGAGTGTCACACCAAACAGACTTTGCTACAAGAGCCTCTGCTGTTTCCAGCCTGTCGGTCAGTGTTGGTGGCTTCAGGCAATCATAGTAGCCGCCTAGTGGTTTTATGGCTATTCTTTGAGAGGAAAGGGGTCCAAGGATTTACTTGTCTGCCATGAAGAATATGGCTCCATATGCTCAAAACTCATTTTAATGTCTACTTCAAAAGATTTATTGAAATTCTGCTCCAGATTGTTCTTTGTCAGCAATAAAAGCTCTTTAACAAATGCAATTTTGGTACAGTAATCTTTCTGGCTTGAGTCCCCTAGCTCAAGCCATTGTTAATAGCAACAGGCTGTTAAAGAAATAAGATTGCTATATTTAAAGGAAGTTATACCTGGCTCCAGCTGAAGAAGGGAGAATAGCAAAATTCCTTCTGCTGGGAGAAAATACAATCACGCAACAGAGGGCTTGCATTCAGTCAGGAGATATTAAGGGGACAGTGGGAGTCCAGGAAAATGAGTTTTCTCTCAGTGCCATCACTAACAAGCTTTGTGACCTTGGGCAAGTCACTTTGCCCCCCTGGGGTTCCATTTTTTCATGTGTGAAATGAAGCGTTTGGACCGGATCAGTGACTTTACACTTACGTGACTGTGCCCCACAGTAGTGCATTTTTACCTGGCCACCCAACACACAGATATTCATGCACATGTGTAGCTAACATAGAGTCTCCATGAACAGTACTTATCCCTCTCCCTAAAACACACTTCAATATTTTCTATTCAAGGTGGTCTATTCTCAAGAAAAAAGCTGGTCCTGACCCCCTAAATTGATTTCACAACTCTTAGCCACCCACTGTTTGAAAAACACTTGACTAGACAGTCCCTGAAATTTCTTCCAACTTGGAATTTTTCTTACTCTCTTTTGATGTGTGAGGTGAAAAGAAAAGAGAGCAGATGTTTTGGAAAGGCAAATGAATCAGCTCCAGTGGCCTGGCCCATGCAGTATAGGACAGGCCAGGAGTCCCCAAGGACACACTTTCGGGAAGGACTTCTGACTCCCAGTAAACAAAGGTGCTTAAAAGTTAACAATGAGTATTAAAATACACCAAGCCAACTTATTTAAAGAAAAAAAAAATTATATCTTTAAAAAGTGCTTAATATGTAGAAAGAGATGGAGAATCCATGGGTCTTCATCTACAGAATTGAGTCACTTCTGACAGCTAGCAGCGTTATGTTTCCAGAGTGCCATTTAGAATTTAGAGAAAGTCTTTTAGTGGATTGGTATGTTCGTGGGTCCTTCCCCAGACCACAAAACCTGGAGCTAGGACCCAGGAATTTTCATGTTGAAAAGCTCCTTCAGGCCACTACTGGGTACATTAAAGTCAGGCAATCATGAAGAGGCCCCAGAGTTACTGAGTCAACAGGCTGAGTTAGGCTTCACAGACTCCCAGTCAGGAGCAGGTTCCCAGAGCAGCTAAATTATGTAGCACCACGTACTCAGCAAATGCCGAATCTGTGTCCATGGGAAAGAAGTTTGTTTATTCTCTCAAACATGAGAGCATCTTACAAACTGCCACCAGATGGGGATGTTTTCCTATACAAGGAAAGTTCCCAGGGCTCAAAAAATAGTAATCATAATAATAGACTTTTACAACTAATATCAGGAGGAGAGGGCCATTTGGAAAGCTGTCTATTGATTTTTAGGATCCAACAACAAAACTGTCTTCTTATCACCCAGGGGATTGGGCACTGAAGCATTTGCCCTTCTCTCAACAAGTATTGAACTAGCTCTGGTCAGACACCGTGGACACAACGGTGACTAAGACAGATGAGGCCCCTGCCTGCTAGGGGCTCACAGTCCTGTGTAAGTCAGTTGTGTAGCAAAGGGATATCTAAGTCTGGGTGGTCTCCAGAGAAAAAGACATTGCAGCAAGAGCTTGGTGAGGAGGGAGAGGAGAGAGGTTCCAAAAATCTCAGAGTTGGCATGTCATCTGTCTGGGGAAGTTGAGGCACCTCTGGGACAGGTGGAGGCTGAGTTGGAGGGGCCCTGGGAGGCCAGGTCAGTGGGGCTGTGGTCTGAAGGGGAAGGGTGTCTCTGGGTGGCTGAGTCAGAGGTGCTAGGCAGCCCCCCTGGCTCTGACCAGAGCAGGGGTGCATTGATCTGTTTTCTTATAAAATAAATCTCATGCTCACACACACCCTTCCACCCGAAAAAAAAGAAAGAAAAGTTTTAAGAAAAAGTTCTCTTTAAAAAAGGGGTGGGGTGGGAAAGAGAGAAGGAATAAAAGAGAAGGAAAAAACGTGGGAACCTGAGTCAGGTGACATCAAAGCAGTCCTCTTTGGTGGGGATGAGCAGTGTGCCTGGGTCCACATCAGCCAGAGAGCTGAGCAGATTCTCCATGGGTACAGACCAGGAGAGTTGGCCCTCGTGAGGTTCCAACAGCCTCCAGCAGTTCCCACCATGCATTCCTCAAGGTTTAGACCATACCCACATCATCTCTGAGGGACAGTTGTCTCTAGTTTTCTTTTATTGTAATGTCTTCGTTCAGTTTTGGTATCACTGTAATGAAATGAGTCAGGGTTTGTCCTCTCCTTTATCTGAAATAGTCTGTGTAGGATTGGTATTATTTCCTCCTTAAGTATTTGATGTAATTTACTGGAAAAATAATCAGGGCCTGGATTTTTTTTTGGTGGGAACGCTTTTAACTACAAAATCCGTTTTTAAAATAAATACAGGGTTATTCAGATTTTCTACTACTTGAGTCAGTTTCAGTAATTTGCATCTTTCACAGGATTTGTCCATTTTGTCTAATTGGCATAAAGTTGTTCATAATCTCCTATTTTCATTTTAATGCCTGTAAGGTTGGTAGTGATGTCTCCTCTTTTACTGCTGAGATTGGTGATTTGTGTCTCTCTTTTTTTCTTGATCAGTCTAACTAGAGTTTTGTCAGTTTTATTTATCTTTTTTTTTTTTTTTTTTTTTTTTTTTTTTTTTTTT